AATCTTTAAGTTTGTTCCCTACACAATCAACCACAACATATTCAAGTGAAAATTTCAGGGAACTCTAGTGTTCAATCATCTTCCACCTTCAAGTCATGAATGGTAGATTCGCCAATCTAACTCTTCAGGTTTAAGAAGATTGAACAGGGGCAGCTGTTGTACCCCAAAATTTGCCCTCTCATTTTTCAAGGCATTTATCACAAGGATTCTCAAGATTCAAGCTTGCACAAGTGTAATTGGATTTTCCAGCATCAAGTTGAAAAGGAAACTGTTAAAAAAGGGGAAAACAGATAAAAATAATCTTTTTGACAAAATTGGAGAAAAACAAGTCTTTTCGATTCATCTCCTTCGATTGGCCTTTTGGCCTCTTTCGATGCAAGCTTGGCTTGCATCCTTCGACTGAGCGTTGGCCTCTGGCACGCTGGCTTGGATTCACAAGGCATGAGCTTCTTACGCCACCTTCGATTGCACCTTTGGCTTCAAAGGATTTACAATGCAATGGCTGTCTATGTGCCTGCTTTGATTGGATGTTTGATGCGTGCATGTCTGTGTTTACTGAACAAATATTCCCTCATACTTGCTTTAATTCAGAAGTTGATGACTAGCTGCATACAAGCCTTCATTTGAGCCATAATTTTTTTTTTGCGCGTAAGAGGCTTCTCCCCATGCTAGCATGCACAAGGCACAAAGCCTCATGTAGCCTCCTTTGATTACAAGGAAAAAATCCTCCTCTTGGCATCCTTCGATTGCATCCTTTCCTCCTCGTGCACCCTTCGTTTAGGCATATGGCTCCTTTGCTGCAAGCTTCGTTTGTGAACTTTACCTCCTATTTACATTCTTTATTTGAGAGTGTACATGATTGGGTTTACATTCTTTGTTTGGGCATGTGGCCCCCTTTGTTGCAAGCTTAGTTTGGGCGTTTAGACCTCCTGCATGAAGGCTTCGACAGGGCATTGGCCATGTTTATACTAGCTTCGACTGGACAACATTTTCCTTTAGTATGCTGCAGTGCCACCATTGACAACCTTCAACACACATGGTTGGTGTCCCCCTTCAAAGAACATGTATTGTTGGATTTAAAGGGTATACATAGGAGTTCATGTCGAAGGATTACATAGTCCATTCAAAGGACACATTTGGCTCTTTTCAAAGAAACATACATGATCCATACAAGGGACATGTTTGGGCGTTCCATTCGAAGGACATGCTTGATGGCCCATTCGAAGAATTTACAAAGCCCACCTTAAGGTATGCTTTGGTGACCCATCCAAGGGGCACACATTTGGCTCCTTCGAAGGATGCACAAAAGTCACCCTTCGAAAGACACTTATTGGAGGAAAATCAAATAAGATTGTTGGAAGAAGAATCTGGTCGAAGGAGGGTCAAAACGAAAGGATGAAATATTCAAAGATGTTTGCTGCCAAGTTCAGGCCTAGTACACTGGCCAAAACTGCTGCACAGCAGTCCTGCAACACTGCCTTATTCCTTGCATCAAAATAACATACAAATACTATCCCTCGAAAGCTACAAACACAACATCCCTTTTTTGTTCAAACTATTTTATTTTCCCTCCAAAACCCCAGTCAAGCTTTGCCTATAAATAAGAGGCTCCACAATATGTTTAAGGGAGTGGACTCACGTTCAAAGACTGTGGGGAACGAATCTTCAACACTCTCAAAAAACTCAAACACTCATCAAACACAAACCTAGAATTTAGACACTTACCACTTTCGAATCTGAGACATCCCCACATTTGGTTTCCCTTCGAATCCAGCAGAAAGAACATCTCACTTGTTCTTCTCCTTCGAATTCAGCAGCAGGAACGTTACCTTCCTTCTTTCCCTTCGAATCCAGGGACACTCAAGGCAGCCACTCAAAGTCTATCACACGTCCTAGCCTCAAGTAAGGTAAGTCACTCTTAACCTTGGACCTTTCGTTTCCAGCATAACATGTAAATAAACTTCCTTTTCGTTTCAAACATGTACATAGTATTTGTATCCTTTTTGTTTTCACCCTTTTAGTTTATTTTTATTGCCTCTCCTTCTGGTTTTGTTCTTTGGTTTGTTACAATTGCTTTAAGAACTAACCTGTCCCTAAGGTAATGCTAGCATGGACTTAGGCCATGTTGCTATTTAATATCTCAAATGAAAGAAACAGGAGACATGAGTATGAAACGAAGCCTCAGGCTTCCTCACTGACTCCATGTCCAATCGAAGGATGCAGCAAAGGACTTAAGGTGAAGAGGGCATACCATGTTGAACGAAAGAGGAAGCCATAAGGATGGCCACACTGATCTTAGGCCCCAGTCGAAAGGCACACCATGCTGACTTCCAGGGCCCAGTCGAAAGGCATACCATGCTGACTCCTAGGCTTCAGTCGAAAGGCATACCACACAAGCTTCCAGGCCCCAATCGAAAGCAACGTCTTCACCACTTCCAGGCCAAATCGAAAAGAACCAGAAGGACAGAATCGAAGGGTGTTTCTGCTTAAATCGAAAGACCCCTTTTTCTTGCTTTTATTTTATTTTGCCTTTATATTTTCATGCTATTCAATATGGTTGTAATAGTGTAGGATTTTATTCTTCTGCATTTTATTACTTTTGTATAATTGCTAGTAAAATAGGGTATGTGTGGCAAGATAAAAACAACAAGTAGACAACCCCTAATCAAAGACTAAATGCATACAAATCAAACACACTATTCACACATGCACCCTTAGGGTAATCTCATTTGTTGCCTCAGAAAAATAGTCATGTCTCTCGAATATGGGCATTTTAGCAAAGACCATTGATAAAAGATCGTAGTCCCTCGATAACCCTTAATGATGCCTTCGGTAAACGATCTAGTCCATAAACGAAAATTGCTAAAACGTCACATAGATTGCCTTTTGTGACTATACAAATATCACACGCCCATCCATTCACATCCAATGATGGGGCTTCTTACCAAATCAATGATAAGATAGAAACATCTAAATGAGGAGGAAAAGAACATTAAAGACCTTTTGAGTAGGTAGGATGCTCCTAGTTGCTCGCTTGCTCACAACATAAAACATTTTATACACCAACACTTTCATCTTGAAACATTTTTAAAAGACAAAATTTTTTGTACGCGTTCTTATAGAAACGAGAGCCATTACAAAGACACTTTTCAAAATCACTTTCAAAAACGCATTCCACAAACACCTCTTTGAACTATTTTCAAAATAACACTTTGTACGCGTTCTTATAGAAACGAGAACCATTACAAAGACGTTTTCAAAATACTTTCAAAACCCACGCCACAAGCACATTTTCAAACAAAAGCAAGTGATCTAGCAAGCAACTAAGAACTCGTAGATAACTACGGATGAAAAGGGTGATAATACTTTCCCTTTTCATAACCTACCACTGAACTCAAGAAAACATCTCTAAAGATTTTTCCTGTTCTTTTCACCATTTTCTTATTGGGTAAAAGAAAAGTCGATGGCAACTCTTGCTATCCGCGATAAATGCGATCAAACGCAAAACACCCAAGTCAGTTCTTCTACCGTATTACATTTACCCTAGCAAATTTCATTCTTACCGAGGCACGAAATGCCTTGTTACCGTCGCCAGATGAGAAGTCGGGAGTTAAAATTAGACATACTCAATAGATTATGCATTTGATTGTATTTTGAGATATTTTAATTTTTTTCATATTTTGAGAACAATTTATATGCTATGATTGTCTGTTATTAATTAATGTATTATTTTTTTCTAAGATATTTGTGTTTATTAATCTTTGAATCAAATAATGACAATATTGATCGAATTAAAATGACTTTGAATTCAAAAAAAACTACAAACTTAGGACAAAGTTTCTACACAAGAAACATGCAGGCAAGACTTCGAAGATGCATCTTTGAATTTACTCCAAAAATATTTGCAGATGCATCTCTAAACATTTTTTTTTCAAAAATGAAATGACTACTTGATTTACGAAGAATTTACCTCAGCAAACTTTGTAGTTGCATATCCAAACTAAATTTTGAAAAAAAATAGAATTTAATGCATTTAGAGATGTGTCTCCTAATAAACTAAAGAGTATTTTAAGGTTTTAAAATGGAAAAGAAATTGCCTAAATAAATGATTAAGAGTTTGATCCGTAACTCTTGTGTATGGTATTTCGATTGAAACAACTCACAATATACATGCCCATAGGTTCCTAGATGAAAACTAATAATCAATAAACGTCAGGATAAACTTCGTTCAATTATGTAATATCGGAAATTTTATAAATAAATAAATAAATAAATAAAAGGGAAAATTGTGTCATTGGTCATGTTCAGTGTGAAAATACCTCCAGAAATACCTATCATCCATGGTGCATTAATGATACATTGCAAACAAGTTACACCATCCTACACAATGGCCAAGGGATTAAATGTTTACTTCAAATGTCAAATCCAATCTCATGGCATGATCACACATATTCTCAAACACTAGCAAAATATTTCCTTGCTATCAAAAATTCACTTTACATGTAAGACAAGGGGCAACAGAAAAAGCTTTCCCCACCAACCTAAAACCTTCCAAACCCTATAACAAACTCAAAACTAAAAACAAAGAATGGACATTTTCTCATCACTCAACAATACTCTTAATAGGAGTTCAATGGCCTCAATAGAGCTATGAAAAGGTATTAATGCTAAAAACACAATAGCAGGAGTAAAAATTAAAAAGAGAAAGCCTGCTGCATATGTTTCTACATGTTTCTACTTCGTCTAACTTTAATCGTTCGTCAATATCAATCGGTTACATGTGTCCTACCTTTTATGTCCTCGACCCAACCAACCAATCAGAAGATTATAATAATGGCAACCAACCAATCAGAAGATTATAATAATGGCAAATTTTCCAGCTTTTTACACTCAAAACGTAATGTAGCCAATTGCCACATCTTTTTCCTCAAAGAAATCCAAGTATATTTTGGAATTTCCCAAAAAATAAGACTCAATCAATCATCTAATATAAGCAGAGCCTAGTAATTGCTTGGCCAATTGATCTGTGCATGTTGAGGTTGCTGGTAAACATTTCCACCTGGTCCTACCATGTCAACTGCTCCTGCCATTGTTTGAGATTGCTGCAACAGTGGATGGACTGCTGCAGCTGTCACTGCTTGAGCGGGGTGATAGATGCTCGCGAAAGTGGTGTGGCCAGCCTGAGTCGGGGCATATGTCACATGCGGACCTTGAGGAGGAAGGTTGTAGAATGAACTAGTGGACAAATTAGTCATGTCTCGGCCAGGTGCAGCCACCCACACTGCCGAACCTTCGCTCTGCAGTGGAAATAAATATCATACCCAAAAAATATAAACAGTCAAGGAAAGCGAAAAAATTTATGGCCTGTGCTTTTTCATAATTGTCTTGAAGGAGCAGAAATCTCCTAAGCTTAGGGCATGTTTGAATTGGTTTGTAAGAGTTTACTTAATGACATAAATGCTAAAGAAGAGTTTTAGAGTTTGGATTGTTTCTAGAGTTTGGATTGTTTTTAGATTATTTCCATAAGATCACCAAGATAGCTTATGAAAATATTATATTGAAAACAGGTTGATTTTGCTTTAAATTTTGTTATAAAAATAACTTATGCTAAGCACTTAATTACATTGTTTATCCAAACAAAACCTTTGTTGAACTCCACCATGTGAACCGGTTAATGGGGTTTTCATTGTTCGTTCAAATACAAGGTTATTTTTTAATCAAACTGAAGAAACTAGAGCCAAAAGGAACAAACATTACAAACCTGTTGTTGTCCAGTGATGTATACATTAATTTCCTTGAATTGGGAGGAACCGAGATCCTCATTAGAGTTTGAATTCCCCGGAGTTGTATCAGAATTATGATTATAACCAGCTGGAGAGGAGCCATATAGTCCAAATGTGTTTGGCATTACAAGGTGAGTTGGGTTTGCTGTATTTGTTCCAGGTTTGAATTGTAGAAGGGGATATTTGATTCCAGGGTCTGCCACGGTTGGGGGAGGATGATATACAGTGGTTGTTGAAGGAAGGCACCGTTACCCAAAAATTGGTGGACTGCTGCTGGAGGTGGGGACATAGAATGGTGAAAAGTAGTGACCATAAGGAATGTAGTTTGGAGGGTAATGGGATAAATGAACCGCACTCGGCCGGAAGACTGGGACAGGTTGCTGAGTAACGGCTATTGTACTTTGCATCAGTCCTGCAGCTTGAGTTGTAAAGTGGGGTTTGACCTGCAGTGGACAAGATACCCTGCAAATAGAATATGATTATTTTACTAGATGTTGTTATTTATAATTAAAAAAAGATATAAAACTTTATTGAGACTTGAGTGTTAAAATTAATCATGGAGTTTCTTATTGTAGTAGTCAAGAATTATGAATTTTTAAAGGACAAATGTAAATGCGGCAGACAGATTTTTAACTCAACCTATATGGTATTGATGCAAACCTCTTGAGGAGATTGAAAATTTGGAGCAGGCAGCACCGTAATATTGCCGTTGTACTTGGTGATTGCCCCGGCAGAAGCAAAAGGAGAAAGACGGCCATATAGTAAAAGGACTCTCACAATAAAGCTTGGAAACCGAGAAATATCATGTGTCTGAGACTCAGAATTGTCAGATGGTGTGAGCTGAGGACCCAACATCAGGGGCACAAAACCATCACTATAGTTTGGAGAAATATGCATGCCTGGGTATTGATGACCTTCAGACGGCAAAGCAGTATCTTGCTTGGACTCATTAGACTCCTGAATAGCACTGGATGATCCATCAACCTCACCCGATTCTAGATTCATAGGCGTGTTATTGGGTGAGAGTGGATGGTCAGGATAATCTTCCACCTTGGACGTAAGCATACCATTTTGACTGTTGTTAAAAAGACATGATTCATTAAAATGAAAATATTCACTTCCTGAAAGTAAAAAAAATCAACATGCGAATATGCGATCAAACAACTAAACCAGCTAAAAGGGCACTAAAAATTGTTTATTCTCTCTACTAACATGCAAAAAGTGCTTCTATATTTATATTCTTCCCAAGTTTTAATAGAATTCATCAAAAAGTAGGTTCCCAAAGCATATAGTTGAGCATTACAAACCTTGAATCCTGCTCCTCCACAGTTTCTTCAATATTCTGATAAGTTTCAGAAAGTGGCGTGGAATTGGAACTCTTTTCACTATCTGGGCCACTAACATAGCTTGTTGTATCGACTCCAAAATTGACTCCCAAAGTTCCAAATCAAAACTGATTCTTCTCAGAGTCTGGTACTGTGATATGATTTGGAAGTATAACATGTTGATACTGTGGAATACGTAAATTCTCCAGCTTTCTCTGAAGTGTTCAAGTAGATTCTTCAGTGGTCAAGGGCATGATGCAGACTGTAACTGTCTGGTTACTTCAGCTGATACAGGAGGAGCCTCAGGTGCAGTAGCAGGTCTAGAATTCTGATTATATGTATTTGTGTACTTTGGTTTCCATTCCTTATTAGAAACAGCCGTTGAAAAAAGAAACTAATCATAAACCTTGTGAAATAGAAGAATGATAAGGGCTCTGCAGGAGACAAAAATTGTGTTGGTTGAATTGCAGAAAATTACCTTTCTGAGGGCCATTTATTTGTTGAGACCGGTTATTGTAATTAGAGGACGGACGACTAACTGAAGGGCTTCCGAGAGTTACCGACGATGATGGGTATGGTATCTCATTGCTGTGATTTTTTGCCACTCGGGGATTTACTTTGAATCATTTCTTGCACAGAAGAGCTACCAGTCTCAGAAGCTGCCATTGAGGGGAAATATTGTTCATTAATTTTGTTTTAGGACTTTAAAACAAAATAAACTATAAATGTAAGATAATGTCAAATGTACTAACCAGCAGTTATAGTTTGTTCTTGGCTGAGTTAACAGCATTTGATTCTCCAAGAGAGTGTTGGCTTCCCATTCCTCGTCTAACTTCACCAACAACACCAGGAACCCATGAATTATCAGATGGAACCAATACTGGATCACAAGAAAAGAAGTGAACAGCCGAGGAGGATGGCGGCCCGGTTCCAGAAGCAACTGTTGCAACAGGATTTGATTTATCAGCAGATGAAGCACTATCCACGTTATTATTATTGCCAGAAGATTAAACCATTATGTCTCCGTTTCCAACAGGTGGTGGGGAAGGACTCGCACTACTTATAGTTCCAGAAGCCAAATTAAGCCAAATTTGTAGGACCATTGGCAGTAATAGGCACAGAGCTGAGAAAGCATATGTATAGTTAATCAGTTATGTAGTTTGAGCTTTAAACATGTAGATGGACTTAAATTAGCATTGCAGTAACATAAAAGACAGAAGACAACAATGGTACTTAGGTTCTAGTTGGATTATAACTTATTTGAGCTTTTCTGTTGGCATAAGCGCTTGTGAAAATGTTTGAAGAGTATATGGAAACAGCTTATGACATATCCATAAGTTGTTTTAAGCTTATATACATAAGCTCTACATGAAAACTTATCAAGACTGCTTATAGCTTATATGAAAATAGTTTGATTTTATTTTATATTTTGTTATAGAAATAACTTATACATAAGCACTTACATGACAAGCTCTTATGCTACAAGCCCTTAATTAAACTACTTATCCAAACAGGGCCAAAGACAACTTGTTCCGGAACTTTTCCTTCCCTTTAGATATTATCTCTTGAGAAGCTGATAGTTGTGGCACAATTTTCTCAGAAGGTAGACGAGCTCCACTATCTTTCCCAGTAACAGAAGTCTTTCTTCCACTAGCGGTCAATAATCATATTCTTAATTTAGGTGCTTTGACTAGCCAACATAATATCTAAGTTTGAGTAAGAATCCACACTAGAATGCAGCTATAGCTGTTATATTTCACCTAAGCTACAAAAGTACGTGTAAAAAGCTGGGTAACAAGTACCAAGATATGCTGCAAGACCATTGGTTTGAAAACAAGAAACAAAACAGCTAGGTGATACTACTACTACATCATGTTCAACTATAACTGCTCGATAGATAGACGGCCTAAAGTTGTCGGAGCAAAAAAACAAGTTTATCCATCAAAAGAAGGGGTTATTTAACATTAAGGAAAATGAATAAATAATTAAATAAATAAAAGAGTCAAACTCGAAGTTCAGAACAGTTATTCACCCGTCCGTGGGTGGCAGGTCTCCCGCATGGTTCTACATGTTCTCTATTGTTGAGGTTCTGCAAAATCATTAACAAATAAAGGAGAAACAAGAACAGAATTAGCAAACTATGTTGAGAGATTAGCACAAACTTTGAAAATAAGTAGAGCATAAGTTGATATTAAATAAAAGCCATGTCACATAACCAAATGAGTGGGGCGGCTTTTTAGAACTTCTAAAAAGTCCCTACACACACCCATATCCCTGTCTGTGTGCTATGATTAGACACAATTCCAGCATACTCTCTATTGTCATGTATTAAAACCTAGTCAACAAAAATTACAAAAGAAAAAATGGATAATCAACCAAGAGAGCCCATTAAGATTACATTATTGAAGTTCATCACTTACAATATCTTACCTATTCTGTCCCTCTTTCTTTTGACCTCATGAAATATGTATGTAAAACAAGTAATTTATATTTAGGCGCCAATGTAGCAAGAAGGATAAAATAGAGAATAGATCATAAATTCATTTTAAGTTTAAATTAGAAGTTCAGATCCAATGAGCCCATAACAATCATTCATGATGGACTTGAAAAAGAGAAGAACGAGATATTAAATCAACAAAGCCACAAAATCATCAAACCTTTACCTCTCCCTATTTGATGAGTGATCCTTCTTCTACCGATGAACCTAGGTATACGAAATCAATGTAGCTCACCAGAACAGTCATTGAAAGTAATAAAATAAATCACAGTCACATTAAAATAAAATAACGAACATTAAAATTCATTCTAAACAGAAACTATGAAATATTATCTATCAAAATTAGAAGTTCAGATCCAATGAGCCCATAACAATCATTCATGATGGACTTGAAAAAGAGAAGAACGAGATATTAAATCAACAAAGCCACAAAATCATCAAACCTTTACCTCTCCCTATTTGATGAGTGATCCTTCTTCTACCGATGAACCTAGGTATACGAAATCAATGTAGCTCACCAGTCATTGAAAGTAATAAAATAAATCACAGTCACATTGAAATAAAATAACGAACATTAAAATTCATTCTAAACAGAAACTATGAAATATTATCTATCAAATATCCATATCTAATGTGTTACGAATCGGTGGCCAAACAATGGAGGTAACCGATGCTCATCAAGGGCCTCAAGGGTAAGGTTTATCAATTAGGGTTTATCAGTTTGGCAATTAGGGTTTATCAGTTTGGCAATTAGGGTTTATCAGTTTGGCAATTAGGGTTTATCAGTTTGGCAATTAGGGTTTATTAATCTTTTTCTTTAAATCTAATTATTTAAACTTCTTCTTGTTCGACTGAGATCCCCAGTTGATCTTTATACCGGAAGAAACCCATTACACTGGGCTCAGGGTACTCTTTTGCATGGTTCTGAAGAAGGATCATTTTACACTTGTATACTTGTAAAAAAATGAAATTAACAGTACACATCCTAACAGATTCAAGAACGGTGCTGCCTTTTAGGATGTGTACCGTTAATTTCATTTTTTAGGACGTGTAAAATGATCCTTATAAAGGATTTACAAGGATACAAGTGTAAAATGATCCTATATGGTAACACATTTCAGAACCACGCACCTGAGCCCAGGTGCCCAGTGTAATGGGTTTCTTCTGGTATAAAGATCAACTGGGATCTCAGTCGAACAAGCCTAAAGAAGTTTAAATAATTAGATTTAAATAATTAGATTTAAAGAAAAAGATTAATAAACCCTAATTCACAAACTGATAAACCCTAATTCCCAAACTGATAAACCCTAATTCCCAAATTGATAAACCTATTGATAAATTGATAAACCTTACCCTTAAACCTATTGATAAATTGATAAACCTTACCCTTGAGGCCCTTGATGAGCATCGGTTACCTCCATTGTTTGGCCACCGATTCGTAACACAACAGATACGAAGGAGTTTTTGTAAACCCCTTGGTTAAAACTCTCCTCATGAACGTGTACACGTTCAACAATCCTTTCAGCGCCGAGATAGGTCACGTAGTATTGAGCTGCTTCGCGGGCATTTGGATGTGTCCTACCTTTTATGTCCTCGACCCAACCAACCAATCAGAAGATTATAATAATGGCAAATTTTCCAGCTTTTTACACTCAAAACGTAATGTAGCCAATTGCCACATCTTTTTCCTCACAGAAATCCAAGTATATTTTGGAATTTCCCAAAAAATAAGACTCAATCAATCATCTAATATAAGCAGAGCCTAGTAATTGCTTGGCCAATTGATCTGTGCATGTTGAGGTTGCTGATAAACATTTCCACCTGGTCCTACCATGTCAACTGCTCCTGCCATTGTTTGAGATTGCTGCAACAGTGGATGGACTGCTGCAGCTGTCACTGCTTGAGCGGGGTGATAGATGCTCGCGAAAGTGGCGTGGCCAGTCTGAGTCGGGGCAAATGTCACATGCGGACCTTGAGGAGGAAGGTTGTAGAATGAACTAGTGGGCAAATTAGTCATGTCTCGGCCAGGTGCAGCCACCCACACTGCCGAACCTTCGCTCTGCAGTGGAAATAAATATCATACCCAAAAAATATAAACAGTCAAGGAAAGCGAAAAATTTTATGGCCTGTGCTTTTTCATAATTGTCTTGAAGGAGCAGAAATCTCCTAAGCTTAGGGCATGTTTGAATTGGTTTGTAAGAGTTTACTTAATGACATAAATGCTAAAGAAGAGTTTTAGAGTTTGGATTGTTTCTAGAGTTTGGATTGTTTTTAGATTATTTCCGTAAGATCACCAAGATAGCTTATGAAAATATTATATTGAAAACAGGTTGATTTTGCTTTAAATTTTGTTATAAAAATAACTTATGCTAAGCACTCAATTATATAGTTTATCCAAACAAAGCCTTTGTTAAACTCCAACATGTGAATCGGTTAATATGGTTTTCTTTGTTCGTTCAAATACAAGGTTATTTTTCAATCAAACTGATGACACTAGAGCCAAAAGGAAGAAAGATTACAAACCTGTGGTCCAGTGATGTATACATTACTTTCCTTGAATTGGGAGGAACCGAGATCCTCATTAGAGTTCGAATTCCCTGCAGTTGTTGCAGAATTATGATTATAACCAGCTGGAGAGGAGCCATATAGTCCAAAAGCGTTTGGCATTACAAGGTGAGTTGTGTTTGCTGGATTTGTTCCAGGTTTGAATTGTGGAGGATATTTGATTCATGGGGCTGCCACAGTTGGGGGAGGTGGATATACAGTGGCGGCCTGAGGTTGTTGAGGGAACGCACCGTTACTCAAAAATTGGTGGATTGCTGGAGGTGGGACATAGAATGGTGAAAAGTAGTGACCATAAGGAATGTAGTTTGGAGGGTAATGGGATAAATGAACCGCATTCGGCCGGAAGACTGGGACAGGTTGCTGAGTAACGGCTATTGTACTTTGCATCAGTCCTGCAGCTTGAGTTGTAAGTGGGGTTTGACCTGCTGTGGACAAGATACCCTGCAAACAGAATATGATTATTTTACTAGATGTTGTTATTTATAATATGGAAATATATAAAACTTTATCAGACTCTAGTGTTAAAAGTAATCAAGAAGTTTCTTATTGTTGTAGTAAAAAATTTATGAATTTTTAAAGGGCAAATGTAAATGCAGCAGACAGATTTTCAACTCAAACTATATGGTTTTGATGCAAACCTCTTGAGGAGATTGAGAATTTGGAGCAGGCAGCACTGTAATATTGCCGTTGTATTTGGTGGTTGCCCCGGCAGAAGCAAAAGGAGAAAGACGGCCATCACTATCAGTACCTGGTCGGTAAAACTGGGCATAATAACCAGATGGATCCAACTGTGGATGGACCTACAGTAAGATAACAAACGTACTTAACTTTTTACGCAACAAAAATGTATAATAAACTAAACTAAAATATGAACAAAAGCCATATAAGTAGCAGGACTCACAATAAAGCTTGGGAGCCGAGAAATATCACGTGTCTGAGACTCAGAATTGTCAAACGGTGTGAGCTGAGGACCCAACATTGGGGGCACAAAACCATAACTATAGTTTGGAGAAATATGCATGCCTGGGTATTGAAAACCTTCTGACGGCAAAGCAGTGTCTTGCTTGGACTCATTAGACTCCTGAATAGCACTGGATGACCCATCAACCTCACCCGATTCTAGATTCACAGGCGTGTTATTGGGTGAGAGTGGATGGTCAGGATAATCTTCCACCTCAGACGTAAGCGTACCATTTTGACTGTTGAGTTAAAAAGACATGATTCATTAAAATGAAAATATTCATTTCTTGAAAGTTAAAAAAAGCATACATCGATCAAACAAATAACCAGCTAAAAGGGCATTAAGAATTGTTTATTCTCTCTACTAACATACAAAAAGTGCTTCTAACATACAAAAAATGCTTCTATATTTATATTCTTCCCAAGTTTTAATAGAATTCATCAAAATGAGATTCTAAGTCCTACAAAAACTAGATTCCCAAAGCATATAGTTGAGCATTACAAACCTTGAATCCTGCTCTTCCACAGTTTCTTCAATATTCTGAGAACTTTCAGAAAGTGGCGTGGAATTGGAACTCTTTTCACTATCTAGGCCACTAACAAAGCTTGTTGTATCGACTCCAAAATTGATTCCCAAAGTTCCAAAGCAAAACTTATTCTTCTCAGAATCTGGTACTATGATATGATTTGGAAGTATAACATGTTGATGCTGTGGAATACGCAAATTCTCCAGTTTTCTCTGAAGATTTGAAGTAGCTTCTTCAGTGTCAAGGGCACTAGACGCAGACTGTAGCTGTCTAGTTACTTCAGCTGATACAGGAGGAGCCTCAGGTGCAGTAGCAGGTCTAGAATTCTGATTATATGTGTTTGTGGGCTTTGGTTTCCATTCCTTATTAGAAACAGCTGCTGACAAAAGAAACTAATTATAAATCTTTTGAAAGAGAAGAATGATAAGGGCTCTGCAGGAGACAAAAATTGTATTGGTTGAATTGCAGAAAATTACCTTTTTGAGGGCCATTTAATTGTTGAGGTCGGTTATTGTAATTAGAGGACGGGCGACTAACTGAAGGGCTTCCGAGTGTTACCGACGATGATGGGGATGGTATCTCGTTGCCATGATTTTTTGCCACTCTCGGGGATTTACCTTGAATCTTTTCTTTCACAGAAGAGCTACCAGTCTCAGAAGCTGCCATTGGGGGGAATATTGTTCGTAAATGACATTTTAAAACTTTAAAACAAAATAAACTATAAATGTAAGATAATGTTAAATGTACTAACCAGCAGTTAGTTTGTTCTTGGCTGAGTTAACAGCATTTGATTCTCCATGAGAGTGTTGGCTTTCCACTTCGCGTCTAATGGCACCGACAACACCAGGAAGCCATGAGTTATCAGATGGAACCAATACTGGATCAGAAGAGAAGTGAACAGCCGATGAGGATGCCGGCCCAGTTTCAGAAGCAATAGTTGCAACTTGATTTGATTTATCAGAAGATGAAGTACTATCCACATTATTACTATTATTGCCAGAAGATTGAACCATTATGTCTCTGTTTCCAGCAGGTGGTGGGGAAGGACTCGTACTACTAGTAGTTCCAGAAGCCACATTTGTAGGACCATTGGCAGTAATAGGCACAGAGCTGAAAAAACATATGTATAGTTAATTAGTTGTGTAGTTTAAGCTTTAAACATGTAGAAGGACTTAAATTGGCATTGCACTTTGCAGTAACATAAAAGATAGAAGACAACAATGTCACTTAGGGTCTGTTTGGCTTAACTTAATTGGCTTAACTTGTGAAAATTGTTTGAAAAGTTTATGGAAACAGCTTATGACATATTCATAAGTTGTTTTCAGCTTATATACATAAGCTTTACAAGATAACTTATCAAAACAGCTTATAGCTTATATGAAAATAGCTTTATTTTATTTTATTTTATTTTATTTTTTGTTATAGAAATAACTTATACATAAGCACTTACACGATAAGCTCTTAAGCTACAAGCACTTAATTAAACTATTTATCCAAACAGGGCCGTGGACAAATTACTAAATATAGTCACCTTGTTCCGGAACTTTTCCCTTCAGATATTATCTCTTGAGAAGCTGATGGTTGGGGCGCAATTTTCCCTTTAGATATAATCTCTTGAGAAGCTGATGGTTGGGGCGCAATTTTCTCAAAAGGTAGACGAGCTCCACTATCTTTGCCTGTAACAGAAGTCTTTCTTCCACTAGCATCTGAGAAAAGGTTCATAAACATATTCTTAATTTAGGTGCTTTGACTAGCCAACATAATATCTAAGTTTGAGTAAGAATCCACACAAGAATGTAGCTATAGCTGTTGTATTTCATATTTTCACCTAAGCTACAAAGTATACATGTAAAAAGCTGGGTAACAACTTCCAAGATATGTTGCAAGACCATTGGTTTGAAAACAAGACAGAAAACACCTAGGTGATACTACTACATCATGTTCATCTATCCACTTCTATAACTGCTCGATAGATACACGGCCTAAAGTTGTCAGCTAAAAACAAGTTTATCCAACAAAAGAAGTGGCTTATTTAACATAGGGGAAATGAATAAATAAATAAATAAATAAATAAATAAGTAAATAAATAAAGAGTGAAACATGTTGTCGTTCAGAACAGTTATTCACCATGAGATATATTATGAGAAGAAAAATTTCCCCAACCACCCCTAGGCCCCCGTCCGTGGGTGCCAGGTCTCCCACGTGGTTCTACATGTTCTCTGCTGTTGAGACTCTGCAAAATCATTAACAAATAAAGGAGAAACAAGAACAGAATTAGCAAACTATGTTGAGATTAGCAATATTTTGAAAATAAGTAGAGCATAAGTTGATATTAATAAGAGCCATGTCACATAACCAAAAGAGTGACACGACTTCTTAGAACTCCTAAAAAGTCCCAAGTCAAGTTTTGTCAAGTATTAAAATCTAGTCAACAAAAATTACAAAAAGAAAAAATGGATTATCAACCAAGAGAGCACATTAATATTACATCACTTACAATAAATATCTTACCTCCTTTCTTCTGTCCCTCTTTCTTTTGACCTCATGAAATGTGTCTGTAAAACAAGTAATTTATGTTTAGGCACCAATGTAACAGGAACAATAAAATAGAGAATAGATCATAGATTCATTTAAAGTTTAAATTAGAGTTTAGACCCAATGAGCCCACAATAGTCATTCACGATGGGCTTCAAAAAGAGAAGAATGAAATATTAAATCAACAACCCAGAAACCTGTAATACAATGCCCAAGCTGCTTCAAGATGTCATCATAAATAGCAATATAATGGATCCTTATGTGCAAATATGATAACAGCTTGAAACACAATGCTCCAACCAATTACTCAAAAGGGGGCAAGTAAAAGAAAATGAAAATGATTACCAAAAAGCATCTGAACATACATCTAAGGCCACTCAAGTGCACGTAAAACTAACCCAGAGTTATCAACCCCGGGGAATACCAGCGCTATGCCAGGAGAGCGGCACGGCGTGGAGGCCGGCTGCTATGTGATAGCACATTACGTCTCATTTTGAGATCTCAACGACGATTGGCCATGTCGGGGGTCGCGAATGCGGAGCGCTGCCTGGCCCAGAAGGGGGTTACAACCCGATATCTGCTTTGAAGCAAAAATGGCCTATTTGCCCTTAAAAATTAAGGTTGAAAGACAATTCTGTCATTTCCCACAGCTTTGCCCTAACCTCGGAACATTCCTCATCGTCTTCTCACTCGTTCACTACCTTCATCATGTTTTCAGTTCTCACTCATCGTCATCGTTCGCTTCCACTCCATCCTTTTCTCACGTGTTTGATTCCTCTCCTCCAACGCCGCCGCCTGCAAAGCTTTCTCTGTTCAGGTTGGTTATTCCTTTGTTCTTCTTATTCAGTTGTTCATCTTTTCGCACCATCCTTTGCTATTCTTTTAAAATTTTCTTTTTTCTTCTCTTTAGTTCTCACTGTCCTCTATGGCCTATGCTTTTTTTAAGTAACAAAAATTTAATATGTTGAAGATGAAGAACTGTAATGGGGTGGAGGATGAAGAGGAATATGTTGAAGAAGAAGACTTGTTTGATGATGATCTATGATTTCTATGTTTGTTTGAATTTTAATATAGTAGTAC